ACAGAGTATACAAATCACCTCTCAATACTCCTTGCAAATCAAACATTCATGCATTGGAATAGTGAGTTTTAAACCTAATAAGTGCAATTTCCTATTCTGCAAAGAGCATAATTGTCGTAAGATGTGCATGATGCAGACGGGTTATGAGAAGAAAAATACTTTTTAGATATTCCTTGACCAGAGCTTTACACATGGTGTTAAATAAATATGAATGAGTTAGCAATAGTACAAGACCATGTCTGATCTGAGTCATGGGAGTAAGCATCTTTCCCATATGCTCAGGTTTGTGACTGGATTAATCACATTGAGCTCTTTCTAATATTGATAGCGAGTATAAGTTTTATTTTCAAAACTATATTATGCTATAAATTCTTATTCCTTAAAACCTTACTATTCTAGGCCGTCAGACTTCTTCTTACATTGCCCAGTCGAACATACACCAATATCCTCGAAGGTTCCCCCGCCACCCATACGCTTCCCATATCTATTCCCCCACAGGGCTCCACCTACTTCATGTCACCTATGACCCCTTGCCACCAGCTTCACAGCACAAATGCTCAGCTTCCTCTCACGCCACAGCAACAATCCTTTTTATCACCGAAGCCACAACGGATGCTGCAAACGCCAGTATCAGCATCTAGACGCCGTTTCTTTCCTAGCCTTCGTGTGCACCGTGAAGTGAACACAGAATCCGAAGCGTCTGTGAACTGATTTATTTCAAGCCTGCCGTCGCTTATAATAATATTTAAATCCGCCAATTTTACTTGTTAATCAGTACCATCTTCACACATTTATTAACTAATCTAGCCTGAGCTGGCTCGCCATGTAATTTTTGATTATTTTGTCTACAATCCTCTCTGTAATCCATTTTTATTCAGTTCCTTTGTCTACCTTTTAAATAAATAATCTTGAGCATGTGATTAAACAAAATATTCGGTAGCTTTTCGCCTTTACTTGAAGAAATCTATCATAGATACAAAGAAAAACTGGGCTTCGATCAATCTCTTGAGATAACATTGATGGGAGGGACTTTCATTTCGTAGGAATTTGCATGGAGAAGAGATTCGTAGGTCGATATCACCAGAAGAGGACGGATGAATCCCGCTATACTACAGCAGTTTGGATTTTATACGATGATTTGATTGACGCAGTTCACGAGACTTGCTCGTTTCGGGTAAAAACTTGCGTCCATCATATGGTGGACATCATCAGAGGTTGGTCTCATTACTGTAAAAGTCTCACGTTAACACTAGGGCAAGAAGACTATCCGGCTCTATCTTACTTCTTGTATAGACTCAATTAAGCCGAAAGAAAATTTGAGACCTAGGTAGATTTAGGGTGGTTTGGCTGATTACATTTCATGCTGGTTCTGTTACTTTGCTTTATTGTGTGTTAGCGTCTATGCGAAATGTCGATCCTGAATCAGAGTTATCGAAAGGCTAATGTCAGGCTCTGATCACTAAGGCCTAATGACTCATGTGTAAGCCCTGACTCAGACTGCGTAAGTCCGTAGGCAAGTAGGTTTGAGATCTGAGCTTGTAGGCGTCTAATTCAAGTTACGAAACCACTTGTCCTAACCTCTCAGTCTAGGTTCATTAATGTTTAACCCTTCAAGGAAAGTTATGGCAGGCCGCTTAATCTAATTTGCTGAGCGAGTATGAGTGAAGTTATAACTATCACTTAGCAGACAAATTGAATCGCCTTCTTTTGGACGGCGGCTCAACGCCCTGCTCTTCAATCTATCAATCAAACTAACATGTTGGCTCTGCTTAATTTTCTTTCCAACCATAGTTGCAAGACAAATACTGGAATTTTGAAGTCACTGATTATTATAAGTATGAAGCTAGCTGTTAGCAAACATGACTAGATTTGGAGCGGCTGGCATTTACTACTAGAGAATAATTATCCTTTGGGCCTTTTTGAGAATAATATATCTATAATGAGGAATAAATTTTAGGACTGAGGCCATTTAGTCAAAGGTAGATAGACTGAAACCTTTTCCCATGACCTAGTTCTGCCTTCAGGCCTTCTCTAAAGAAAATAAGCGAATTAGTAAGAAAGTGGGGATACAAACAATTTTCAAAGAAACCCTCACTTTCTGCAATTCCATCTTTTAGAGAGAAATATAATCCAATTTCGAAATCCGGCTCCTACAAGATTGTTTGCATATGTGGTCGATGTTGGTGAGACATGGCGACCTATTCGACAAAGATTTGGAGAACACAAAAATGCTTGTAAAGGAAGCTGGATCTAACGGTCATAAATGGTGGAAACTGGACATGAAATAGAATGGTGTCAAACTAGTAGGTATGCCGATTATGGTGCATCTGCGGTTAAAAGTAAAATAAGAAAGGCTATTGTAATTAATAACTTAAGAAATACGTTGAATGTGAGGAACCGTGGTAGAAAGTTGAGTAGGAGCTACTTATGCTTGATTGATCGATTGAAGGGGAGAACCGCCGTCCAAAAGAAGGCGATTTAATTTCTCTGCTTGGTGATTGTTCTAACTACACTCACACTCGTTCAACACGTTAGATTAAGCTCATAAACCAAACCATA